GGCTTGCTGGCCATGTGACTGGGTGGGAGTGGCTTTCCAGCCATGTGACTGGGTGGGAGTGGCTTTCCAGCCATGTGACTGGGTGGGTGTGGTCAACTTGTAAAATATGGTGAAACTCACTTAACAACGCTCTTGCTTAGCAACCAAAATGTTGGTTCAGACACTCTGGCATTTGAAGCACATCGCTTCTCAGCCTTTTGGCTAAGATCAAGTGTAGTGTGTGTGTGTGTATTTGAAGCACACAAGTCTTAAAGCTGTCAAGTTTGAACACCCCTGGGGTTTTGTTTTCTAAAGGGTTAGGTGTTCAAGGGTCTTGTAACGTGACAGCGTTAAGACTTGCGTGCTTCAAATGCCAGAGTTTCTGAGCCAACATTTTGGTTGCTAAGCAAGAGCGTTGTTAAGTGAGTTTCACCACATTTTACAAGTTGACCACACCCACCCAGTCACATGACTACCAAGCCACTCCCACTTGGTCACATGGCCAGCAAGCCACTCCCACAAAGCAGGCCACACCTACAGGAGAGGTTCACATTTGTTTTGAAACCCACCACTGAGTATCATACATACAATTAACTAACACTGTCAAAGTACAGATAGTCCTTGACTTACAACAGTTCATTTAGTGACCATTCAAAGTTACAAGAGCACTGAAAAAAGTGACTGAGGACCGTTTTTCACAATTACAACTTTTGCAGCATCCCCATGGCCACGTGATCAAAATTCAGGCACTTGGCAACTGGCTCATATTTATCACCATTGCAGGGTCCCGGGGGTCACATTTTACGACTTTCTGACAAGCAAAGTCAATGCGGAATCCAGAGTCACTTAACAAGCACGTTATTCACTTAACAACTGCAGTGATTCACTTAGTAAATGGGACAAGAAAAGTCATAAAATGGGACAAAATCGCTTAACAAATGTCTCTATTAACAAATTTTGGGCTCAACTGTGGTCACAAGATGAGGACTGCCTGTATATGCCCCAGTATACTCTGTTCCTCTTTGTGCTGTGTTATAGCTCTTCTTCATATCCTCAATGTTAAGTGCTGAGAGGAAAGATCAGCACTTATTTTGCCCTCTCCTTCTGGGTCTAATAGAAACGGGCAAGCTGTTGGACAATCATAGCACAGCAGAATATGCAGGGATTTTCAGAAGCACTCAGTCTCTGCTGGTTGCAGAGCATAGCCTGAAAGTAGCTACTGATAGCTAGTTATCCCATTACAGTGAGCAGAGTTTAAAATGTATTATATTCATCATCTTCTTCCCAGATACTGTAGCTAGGAGGGGAGAAAAGTGTAAAATTAAAGCTGTAATGAGAGCGAGTTTAGGCATCAGGCTAGACACTGGGAGATGGTGAGTTCTAGTCCCACCTTAGGCACAAAACCACCTGGATGACTTTGGGTTAGCCCTACAAAGGAAGTAATGGCAAACCACTTCTGAAAAACCTTGTCAAGAAAACTTTCTGGTAAAATCCCTGACAACTGGATACAATTGAATAGAATAAAACAAGGTTGTTGTAATGTCATTAGCACCCTGCAAGGAAATAGCCCTACAGAACATAA